GGAAGGGACCTTGTAGGTCATCTAGTGCAACCCCCTCAAAAGAAAGAGAAAGGAAGAAAGAAAGAAAGAAAGAAAAAAAGAAAGAAAGAAAGAAAGAGGAAGGAAGAAAGAAAGAAAAAGAAAAGAAGGAAGGAAGGAAGATTACAAATTATTCTAGTTGGAAGGGACCTTGGAGGTGTTCTAGTCCAACCCCCTGAAAGAAAGAGAAAAAGAAAGAAAAAGATTACAAATTATCAGAGCTGGAAGGGACCTTGTAGGTCATCTAGTCCAACCCCCTCAAAAGAAAGAAAAAGAAAGAGAAAAGGAAGGAAGAGAAAGGAAGGAAGGAAGGAAGGAAGGAAGGAGGAAGAAAGAAAGAAAGAAAGAAAGAAAAAGAAAGAAAGAAAGAAAGAAAGAAAGAAAGAAAAAAAGAAAGAAAGAAAGAAAGAAAGATTACAAATTATTCTAGTTGGAAGGGACCTTGGAGGTGTTCTAGTCCAACCCTCTGAAAGAAAGAGAAAAAGAAAGAAAAAGAAAGATTACAAATTATCAGAGCTGGAAGGGACTTTGTAGATCATCTAGTCCACCCCCCCAAAAGAAGGGGAAAAAAAGAAAGGGAAGAAAAGAGAGGCACTGACTTCCCTGCTCAGGTGACAGGAGTTCAGGGAACCCTCTGCCATTCCAGACAAATGGCCTCTCAATCTCTTCCTAAGAACCTCCCAGTGACGGAGGACCCACACCTTCTGGTGTTCAATTTATGTTTTACCCACAAAGGATGCACCGTCCCGTCATTGGGCAGATCAGGTTGCCCTGAGAGACCAGTCCCACCGGAGAGGGAAAAAAACAAAAACAAAACACTACGACTTCTGGTGGCCAGCAGTTCCACTGGCTAATTGTCCTCCCTTTTAGGAAGTTTCTCCTTAATTCCAGGTTGCTTCTCTCCTCGATGAGTTTCCATCTGTTGCTTCTTCTCCGGCCTCTTCAGGGGCTTTGGAGGATAGCTTGACTTCTTCTTCTTTGGGGCAGCCCCTCAAATACTGGAAGGCTGCCATCATGTCACCCCAAGTCCCTCTTTTCATTAAATCAGACCTACCCAATTCCAGCAACCCTTCTTTGTATATTTTAGCCTCCGGTCGTTTAGGGGGGGGCGTGCATAAATGCCCCCCCTAAATGCCTAGTGTTCCTGTCCTAATGTTCCTTTTTGTTTGTATCCGTTTCATGTATTCGTCATCACGTTTATCCTTATACCTGTTATCTAATCCTTGCTTGACAAAATAAATAAAATTAAAAAATTAATCAGAATACAGAATGCCAGAGTTGGAAGGGACCTTGTAGGTCATCTAGCCCAACCCCACCACCCAAGCAGGAGACCCTAACACCGTTTCTGACAGATGGCAGTCCAGTCTCTTCTTGAAAGTCTCAAGGGATGACACTCCCACAACTTCCCAAGGCAACTTCTGTTCCATCGGTTGATGGTTCTCCCTGTCAGAAAGTTTCTCCTTATTTCCAGGTTGAATCTCTCCTTGGTCCGTTTCCATCCATTATTCCTTGTCTGGCCCTCAGGGGCTTTAGAAAATAGCTTGACCCCCTCCTTCTCCTCCCTGTGGCAGCCCCTCAAATATTAGAAGATGCTCTCCTGTCTCCCCTGGTCTTTCTCTTCCCTAGACTAGCCAGGCCCAGTTCCTGCAACTGTTCATTGTATGTTTGAGCCTCCAGTCCCCTCATCATCCTGGTTGCTCTTCTCTGCACTTTTTCCATACTCTCAACATCTTTTTTATAGTGTGGTGACCAAAACTGGATGCAGGACTCTAGGCGTGGCCTTACCAAGGCTTTACAGAGTGGTATCAGTACCTCACTTCATCTTTATTGTAAAGTTAAAGGTAAAAGTTCCCCTTGCACATACATACTAGTCCTTTCCAATCTACGGGGTGGTGCTCATCTCTATTACAAAGCCGAAGAAGAGTCGGCACCATCCGAAGACGTCTCCGTGGTCATGTGGCCACATGATTAAACGCCTTTGAAGGCGCACAGAATACTGTTCCCTTCCCACCAAAGGGGTCCCTATTTTTCTACTTGCATTTTTTTTTTAACCTGCTTTCGAACTGCCAGGTTGGCAGAAGCCGGGACGAGGAATGGGAGTTCAACTCCGTGACACGGCGCTGGGGATTTGAACCGCCGAACTGCCGGCCTTTCTGATCGACAAGCTCAGCGTCTTAGCCACTGAGCCACCCGCATCCCTTTGTTAATGCAACTTAGGATTGCGTTGGCTTTTGGGGCTGCCGCTGCACACGGCTGGCTCCTATTTAGCTGGCTGTCCATTAAGACTCCAAGATCCCAGTTCTTGCTATTAAGTCTGGTTTCTCTTTTAAAAGCTTTGGATTTGCAGGTCGAGTGAGTGTCGGGGTTTGTGTGTGTGTCCCAGGGTACTGGCTCCCCATTTGCCTCCTTCCTCCATCGCAAGGAAGAACGAAGACTCGAATCCAGGACCGAAGGAAGACCTGCTTCTCAGGCCACACCCCAAATGGTTGGGACGTCCTCGTTCTCACGCGATCCACCTCGAAAGGCCCACAGGGAAAAGTCTAGCAAAGAGACACGAGGTGTGGTCTCCGTGTCTTTTCTTCTGCTACCTCCACAACACAACTTTCCGGCACCGGCCCACGCTCCCTATGTGTACTCCAGAGGGACTCCACGCCACAGCGTTGACGGAAGACCTGGAGAGAGAGAGAGAGAAAGAAATGCCGTTTTTGAGCCCCCTCTCCACACCCCCAATAATAAGACCTGCAAGGAAGCAGGAAGGATGGAGGGTTCCTGTTTGAGGCCTTTGGATCTTGACGATTTATTATTGTCTGGTTTGGTTTCCTAGTGTGATTTTGGCTGCTTCTTTCGTATCCTATGGCTATCGCTGAGGGCTGCGTCTTAGGATCCTTCAGGGATCTATTTTTTAGGTACACTGAGAGCTTATGCACCGAAGACAAATTCCTTGGGCGTCCAAATCACACTTGGGCAATAAGGAAGTGTAAATTCTATCCTGTTTCCCTGAAAATAAGACCCTGTCTTATATGTTTTTGGCTATCAAAAAAGGCACCGGGTCTTATTTTCGGGGGACGTCATCCACTGACTAACTTCACTTTTGTGCGTCACCCCCGGTCTCCTTTTCACTGTCAGAGGCCTTCAAGAACTTCTTCTGTGGGCAGCAAGGCTTCCCTGAAGGCCTCTGCAGCAGATAAGAGACCTCAGGATCGATCCTGAGCTTTGTTCTCAGCTCCAGAGGCCTTCAGGAAAGCCTGGCCAGCCTTGCCGACTGCAGAAGAAATGGGCCGGCAAGGCAGGTGTCGGGGTGTGCAAGGCCTGGCTACACCTGTCCAAAGGTACTAGGGCAACTCCACCCCCACTGCATCCCCATCCTAGCTCAATTTTTACTCCTCCACTCTGGAGTGGGTGGGATCTTAATTAGGGCTTATTTTTTTGGGGGGGGTTAGGGCTTATATTGGGCACACGTGTAAAAAATCAAGCTAGGACTGACTTTGGGGTAGGTTGTATTTTCAGAGAAACGGGGTATTCTATATATTTTTGACCTGCTGGGAACGAGATTTGAACTCGCCACTTTGACAGCTTCGTTTCAAATGGACCCTGCTGAGGGAAGGGGGGGAAAAATTCCTCACCGGTGGATTCCCGCCAAGCTCTTCTCCAATTTCCCCGTTGTTATGTCCCAGAGGAAAAGGGTGCCGTTTGAAGATCCAGCCAAGGCGTAGCTCTTATCCGGGCTGCCGGGTTCCGAAATGCCGGATAAAAACGACATCAAGCAATCGGGAAAGAGGATTATTGAATTATTATTTTTTTTATCAAGGTATAATACCAGGTCAACTAGGTTAAAAAAGGTATATGTTATTAAGATCGAAAACGTAATGTATCTTATTTATTTAAAACATTTCTCCTTCGTTCTTCATGTTGTATCTCAATTGCAGAGCAAACATTCACACCTGTAAACAGGTGAGTTACACAACACCTCCCCTAAGTGGGAAAACAGTGGCTGAAGGGATGAAAACCATGGCGGGGTTAAAACAGGCCCTAAAGGAAGAGACTTCACTGGCCCCAAACCCTGTTGTGATCCGGCGGCGGCCTGCGGAGATGGCAGCGGAGTTGGACAGTACGGGGGAACATGGCCAGTCCTGGAGTCTGGGGAGGGCTCGGACGAGGGATCTGCATCCGACACAGAGATGGGGGCCAGGGCCATTTGGAAGTTATGTGCCAACTCCGGAGCCTTCAGAATCTGACAGCAGCGAGGCAGAGGAACAGCGGGAGCCTGTTCCCAGTGCGCGTATGCGCAGAGCTGTCAGAAGGGAAGAACAGTTAAGACAAAAGGGGCGACTCGGGAGGAAGGTTTGGAGGTGATTGGCCCCTCCTATCAGGGATAAAGGAGGACAGGAGCCTTTGCAGGAAGCAACTTTGTTCGTACTGGTCGGTTTGAAACCTGAAGCTCTGTACTGACTTTATGCTCCATTTGGCCTTGTATAATTAAAATGTACCGCTACCTTTTAAAATTTGACAGAAAAGAGGAGGTAGCGAAACAAACAATGATTGCTTGGATGAAAAACTTTGGATATAATATACAATAGGAAGATTGGGAAAAACTTTGGACGAAAAACCTATAAATTAACAACGGCAGCCACGTACAAAGAAAATGTCTACAAAATGTTCTATTGTTGGAGATTGCCCAAAAATTTACCCAGACTTGGACCTGGTTTGTTGGAAATTCAAAAAGAAACTAGGTACCTTCTTTCATGTATGGTGGTCCTGTTCTAAAGCAAAGAAATTTTGGAATAAACTAAGGATCTGGTTGCAAGAAATAATTGGTTCAAAAATAGAACTTAGGCCTGAAATGTTCTTATTGGGGATAATCAGAGGTGAATATAAGAAAGACATTGGATATATCATAATACATATATTAACAGCAGCTAGAATAACGTAGGCCCAAAATTGGAAATCAGAGAGTAGTCCCACAGATAATATGATTGTAAATAAAATTATGGATTGTGCAGAAATGAATAAACTTACAATGGCGTTGCAGGAGAAGGAAGAAAAAGAATATTATATGGTCTGGGAAAAACGGTATGTTTGGGTTAGATAACAGGGATAAAAGATAATGCAAAATGTAAATTATGAATGTGTGTGTATGTGTAAATGAAAATGGAAAAGTCGATACCACAACTTACCGCAAAAATTGTATTTGTGATTTGTTTTTAAAAGGGTAAAAACTTAATAATAAGTGGCCTTGTCTAACTAACTGGACATTTAGTCACTGGTAGCATTTCAAGAAATATAAAGCTTATCTTTATCAGGCTTATCCCGAAGGATTTTGGCAGACTTCCGTGGGACTATTGACAAACTCTTTTGAGACTCATTATAGGCTATGTGAATGACGATTAATTCGCAGCCGTTGAAATGAAACCAAAGGATTTGGGGACTAACGTGTGTTTTGTTAGCGTCTCAGGAAGCCTCGGTCAGAACAAACCCATCGCGTATCGAAGATTGTGCGCCATCCCTGGATTGGCAGAGACTCACCTGAACACCGCTTTCGTCGCATCAGAGCCACATTTGAATCCATCCGCTCTTTTCCCCAAAATAAATAAAATAAAGAAGATTATAGTGAGATTTGCCCTTTTTTGGGTGTGTGTGTGTGTGTGTGCGCGCGTGTGAATCTGGGGCCAGAAGGGGTGGGTTTTTTTTTGCAAAATACCTTGATTTAACAATCATTCGTTTAGTGACCGTTTGAAGTGAGAAGGGCACTGAAAAATAAAAGTGACTTGAGGCCATTTTTCACACCTTATGACTGCGGCAGTGTGGTCGTGAAGACGGGGTCAGAATTCAGGCGCTTGGCAGACGAGAAGTCGTAAAATGGGGCCTAAATTCACTTGACAATGGTGTTGCTCAGCAACAGAAATTTTGGGCTTGAGGACTACCCGAGTTCTCCAATCCGTGGGTTTTGAAACTAAAATTCGACCTCGGAAAGGCCCAACGGGCTCGAAATCCAGATTGATTGATTTAGGAAGAAAATGTACATGTTAGGGGCCAACTCACTCCTGGGTGACTCCAGGTGGCTTCACCAGGGAAACCATAATTCCACTGGGGAGGACAGTTGGAGGAACCGCTCGGGGGTGCTCCGTAACCCCGTATGGCGAGACCGGGGGAAACTGAGGCTGGGAATTAAAGAGTAAGGATCAAGACAGAAGAGAATCTTGGTAGCTCTGGGTTGATACGGTGAGGTCCTTGGTGCTCTCTGAGCTGGGTGGTTTTCTTCTGCAGACGTTTCATGACCCAACTAGGTAATAACATCAGGGCTAGAAGGGAGTGGGGTTTGGAGGGGTGAGAAGGAGGAGGAGAAGAAGGGGGAGGAGGAGGAGGAAGAGGAGGAGGAGGAGGAGGAGGAAGAGGAGGAGGAGAATGACTATAGGGTTCTTGCTTCCCTCTGAGCTGGACTGTTTTCTTGCAGACGTTTCATGGCCCATCTGTGTAACATCATCAGTGAAAAGAAGTGTAGAATTTGCCCCTTGGACTGATGATGTTCCCTAGCTGGGTCATGAAATGTCTGCAACAAAACAACCCAGCAAAGACAGCACCAAGGACCTCACATTCCTCCTCCTCTCTGAAAACTCCTCTCCCTTCTAGCACTGATGACGTTCCCTAGTTGGGCCATAAAATGTCTGCAAGCAAACCACCGAGCTCAGAGAGCACCCAGAACTCCAGAGTTGTTTTTTTTTCTTCTTCTTCTTCTTCTTCTTCTTCTTCTTCTTCTTCTTCTTCTTCTTCTTCTTCTTCTTCTTCTTCTTCTTCTTCTTGTTCTTCTTCTTCTTCTTCTTCTTCTTCTTCTTCTTCCTCCTCCTCCTCCTCCTCCTCCTCCTCCTCCTCCTCCTCCTCGTAAATCCCACTCCCTTCTAGCACTGATGACGTTCCCTAGCAGGGCCATAAAATGTCTGCAAGAAAACCACCCAGTTAAGAGATCGTCAAGGGCCCCTCACCGTCTAGGAAACTCCAGGCAGCCTGGGACGGGGCAGTCCCCTCCTCACCTGAAGACCTGCTGGACGGTGTGCATCCTCAGGTCAATGACCTTGAGCGCGTTGTCCCGGGAGCAACTCAGAAGTTGCAGCTGGTCAGGGCTGAGGCTGAGCGAGGTGACCTTAGCGCCCACGGGGACCACCTGTATGCACCGAGAGTCCCTGGGGGAGGAAGCAGAGAGGGAGGGGTTTGCTTTTCAGTATGTATGTATGTATGAGACACATACAGAGATGTGAGATCTCTGCCTTTATGTATCATTCATCAACTTAGTCCTTGCACGTGTAATAGGCCCTCTCAACCGCCTCCCATCCGTAATTAGCTCTGTTCTTTTTGCTTCCATCATGTTGGTCAGAGGAGGCTTATCTCTTGTTGTTGCTTTCTTTTTCCTGTGCCGGACCCAGCCTGGAATTCTTATCTCTAGGAGAAATACACACACACACACACACACACACACACACACACACACACACCCCTATATATCTATATATACATATACCTATATCTATCTATCCATCCATTCATGCATCCATCCATCTATAGCTATCTATCTATCTATATCTTATCATATATCATTATCTATGCATCTATGTATTTATCTATCCATCCATCCATCGATCCATCGATCCATAGCTCTATCTATATATCATATCATATCATATCATATCATATCATATCATATCATATCTCATATATCATAATCTATCTATCTATCTATCTATCTATCTAATCATTATCTATCTATCTATCTAATCATTATTTGTCTATTTATCTATCTATCCATCCATCCATCCATAGCTATCTATCTATATCATATCATATCATATCATATCATATCATATCATATCATATCATATCATTATCTATCTATCTATCTATCTATCTATCTATCTATCTATCTATCTATCTATCTATCTATCTATCTATCTATCCATCTATCTATCCATCTATCTGTCTCTCTAACCTTTCCCAGAAATCCCCCCCTGGATTTATTTTTAAACTTCTCTTGCCACTCGGGCTGCCTCCCTCCACTTTCCGCCCTTCCCAGCTGGGCCTGGAAAACATCTTCTTGGGCCTCTAGTTCCCCAACGACCCGCAGACGGGTGTGAAAAAAGGAAGTCGCTCGTTAGGAGGGTATCTGTGGCTAATATTTTATGCATGTTTTCTTTCCTGGATTTTGAATGGAGCCTCATTGGACAACAGGAGTTGCTATGGCCCAAGTACCATCCTGCTTCCGGAGTGCACTCACCTGCTGTCCCAGAAACGGATCATCTTGTCGTGGTGGCCGCTCACAATGACGTTGTTGCAACACACAACATCGTTGCAGTAAGAGAAGACCTGGATGGTCCTAGAACCTGCCGGGGTGGGGAGCAGTCAATCATTTGTGGGGGAGGGGAAGGCAGCTGGGTGGGAGTGGCCATGGCAGGTGTGGCCTAGTTGGCCTCCTGCACCACGGCAGGCTGGGGGGGGACGTTTCCCCCCTCCCCAGGAGGGCGAAAAAGTGGAATTTAGCGTTTCGCTGAACCAGTAATTAAAAATGATTAAAATCAGCCACCGGTTCGGCTGAACCAGGGTGAACCGATAGCAGCCCAACCCTGGGAGTAACTCAATTGCAGGTGGGGGGGAGGTTCCAACCCTGCTGCGCCCCCAAAAGGTTGGCCACCACTTACATGCCACTTTGACCAAGTCCCACTCCTTCACGGTCCGGTCTTGGCTACCGGTAACCGCCTGGTGCCAGGTAGACCTGAATTGAGCAGCTGTCACTTTGTTAGTGTGTCCGGTGAGAATTTCCTATAGCAACGGAGACAGGAAGGAATGGATGGCAGATGTCAAATGAAGAGATAATAATAATAATAATAATAATAATAATAATAATAATAATAATAATAATAATAA